CCCAGCTCCCTTCCCTGCTGCTGGTTTTGCTCCTCCTTCCTTGGCTGCTCGGTGTGCATGTCCTAGACCATGCAGTGCTGTCCCCCTGCCCGTCCTGAAAATGGGGTGCTCCTTTGGGCACCACCCTGCCCTGCCGTGGCCTCCATGCTCCCTGCTGCTGCCACAGCATTCCCAGGTCTTTGGGCCTTGCTGACTGGGGTGGCTCATGAACTCAACTGGAGCCATGGCCTCCCTGCCCCAAACACCCCTGCACCCTGGTTCCTCAGCTGCCAGGACAGGGCCTGCCATCCCCTGGGCTCTCCCTCTTCCAGCACCGGGTCTCCTTGGTCTGTCTCCTGAGCCTCTCTCAGATGCGCCCCCAACTCCCCTCCCACCCAGAGGCCACATGGCAGGGTCCTGCAGGCTTCCTGCTCTCAGGGAAGTCTTTGTCAAAGCCCAAGCATGGGTTGGGTCCGGTGGCTCACACCTGTAATCCTAGCACTCTGGGAGGCTGAGGTGGGCGGATCCTTTGAGTTCAGGAGTTTGAAACCAGCCTGAGCAAGAGCGAGACCCCCGTCTCTACTAAAAAAATTAGAAAGAAATTAAAAAGTAAAAAAAAAAAAATATATATATATATATATATAAAATTAGCCGGGCATGGTGGCGCATGCCTGTAGTCCCAGCTACTTGGGAGGCTGAGGCAGGAGGATCGCTTGAGCCCAGGAGTTTGAGGTTGCTGTGAGCTAGGCTGACGCCACGGCACTCACTCTAGCCTGGGCAACAAAGTGAGACTCTGTCACAAAAAAAAGAAAAAAAAAGCCCAAGCGTGAGCCCAATCCCAAGGAGCTGATTCAAAATGCAGACCCTCAGGACCCACCTGAACCTACTGAATCAGAGTCCCAGACCTGGAGTCTGCGTTTGGACAGGCCATGAGAATGAGGAATCAGGTTGGGGCCTTCTCCCACCTGTTCTCTCAGCCACCTGCCAGCTCTGTTTCCCCCTCCCAGAAGCTTTCCCAGCCCCCTGTGCCACCCCAGTGTGTCCCTCCCTGGCCTTTTGTCCGTTCCCACCTGCCTGGTGTTTGAGTTGCATGTTTCTCTGTCGTCCCTGCTGGGGCCAGAGAGCCTCCGACTGCCCAGCTCAGCCACACCTCCCTAGGGCCCCGCCCAGGTGGTGAACGGCCAGAGCAGGGCGTGGGTGTGCGCTGAGTGCCCTGAGGGTCTGCTGTGGGCTTAACGGAGAGACAGGAGGGGCTGGTCTCGTCAGCGGACCAGCCTTTCATCCCAGAGTCACCCAAAAGTAGTGAGGGACAGCACAGCCTTTGGGATGGCAGGGCCCGAGCCACCTGGTGAGGGTTCTAGCACCGTCCTGTGCTGACGATGAGCCCCAGGGCCGCCATGTGCTGCCCTCTGCCAAGCACCTTTCCTGTCTCCTGTCCCCAAACTCTCATGGCTGAGGAAGATGCTGTAATGATTCCCGCTAAGTGCCTTGCCCAGTGCCAGGCAGCTATGAGGTGGTGGAGCTAGGATTGAGACACATGCAGGGCCAGCAGCCTTTCGCCCAGGAGGACTCTGAGCACAATTGCACCCAGGATGGCCTCCGGGTGGCTCTCAGAGCCCCACGGCAGGTGAGACCAGGTAGGATGGGGGAGAGAAACCTGACAGGACAGCTTGCACGCCCCCCTCCACGTCCCTCTTGTGGGGGTTTTAATTGGTACCTTCTATGGGGAAGCGAAGCCAAGCCAAGGACCAGTCCCGGGCCGTCTTTGCCAGATGTGCGGAGGAACTGGTGGTCGGATTTCACCCAGGACAAGAGGGAAGGCACAGACCAGGGAGGTAGAAGTGACCACATCCCCCCAGGTGTGGAGTCTGTGGCATGAGGTTCTGGAAGGGAGAGAGATAATTAGAAACACTTTCAGAAGCACTTGCTCATGTCTCGTGAATGCTCTCGATAGGAAAAAAAAAAGACGAAAGCCTGTGTGTTTGGTTCACTGGCTTCAGGTACATTGTATATATCACAGGAAAAAAAAAACATACTGCAAGTAAATACAACCAAATGCCATCAGTAGCATTTCTAGTTTTGCTTTATATATTTGTTTTCAACATTTTTCTATTTGAACATGCATTTTCTATTTTTTTTTAACATTTATGATTGGAGTCCACTGGTTTGAGGTTTCTTGGGCATGACTCCAGGTAAAAAAAAAAAAATTTATTGTTGGCAACTATATATAAAAAGACACTTTTTAACACATTAAATGCCATGTGAGTTGTATTTAACTTTTGAGCCTGAGGCCTCGTGAGGCATATGTCACTCACATGTCTCTTCACCTTGGAAGCTGCAAGAACGATTTTTCAAGTTGCATATAACTCACACATAGAAAACAATAATGACACATTTTTCATTAGATTAGAAGGGATCATTTTGTTTTTGAAGTTTTTATTCTATTTTCGTAATAAACCACTATGGCCTCAGGGAAAAAACTTTTTTCCTAGTGTGGTGGCAATGTGTTCAGGATGGAAAAAATAAAAATTGGCACATTACGATTATAGATTGTAATTTGACCTGACCAAAAAGAAGCTGTATCTAAAGAAAACATAAAGTTAGAAAAAAGGCAAGTAGATACGTACGAGTGATGCCTTCTGAGGTCAGATTCCAGAGGGCGTGTCTTAGGACAGACCCAGACAGTGTGGCCACAAGATGTCCCACTGAGGAGCAAGAGCACAGCCCAGGGCTGGCGCTCACCTGTGACGGGACAATTGACAAGGCTTTGCAGGCGAGGACTCCAGGAAAAGCCATCCAGACAGCCAGACAGCCACCCCTTTGATTCAGCAACTCCACTTTCGGAAATGTACCTTCTGAAACATCAAAGCCCTAGTTATGTAACGAGCCTCAGTTATGTTCACTGAGGTGTCATGCATGGTGGCAGAAGGCACCCACATTTCCCTCAATAGAATGGTAGGGTGACTTGTGGCAAATCTATACACAGAAGTATCATAGAGGGCACAAAAGGAACAAATTGGATGCAGACAGATCTACAGAACTGGAGGACAGTCTGTGGCTACTGTCAGGGGAGAATAGCAAGTTGCAACGCAAGGTGCTGATTAAGTTTTGTGAAAACAGAGGCCTTGATGCTCCACAGGAGGTAGGTGCGCTGGCTGGCACGGGCAAGCAGGGAGGAACATCACCTGATTACCTGGGATGGAGGATGGGAAAAAAGATGGCAGCAGATGGACGAATACCCTATCCACTGAAACTGTGGAGGAATCTGTGAAATTGCTGCAGGTACGCAGAAGATGGGATGTGAACAGGAACAGGGCTGGATGGTGTGGACATTAAAAACACACACTGGGAATGTGGTAACTTTTCTCTTGAAAGTACTTCAGTATACTTTTTCTCAGACATGGAAAAAAAATAAATTGTTCAATAAAAAGTTGCCATACTGGGCTTGGTGGCTCATGTCTGTAACTTTGGGAGGCTGAGGCAGGGGGATTGCTTGAGGCCAGGAGTTTGAGATCAGCCTGGACAATATAGCGAGACCTCATCTTTATAAAACATTAGCCAGATGTGGTGGCACATACCTGTAGTCCCAGCTACTCAGGAGGCTGAGGAAGGAGGATTGCTTGAGCCCAGGAGTTCGAGGCTGCAGTGAGCTAGATGTCACCACACTGCAGCCTGGGTGACAGGCTAATCGCAGGAGAGGATAGCCCATATTTTATTAAAAGGTGCCATGTCCCCCTGGCATAGGGGTCACAGTCTCCCTTGTGCCCAGGGTTCCCCTCCAGGTCTAGGGTCCAGTTCCTGCCTGGCCTGGCACATGGCAGGAAGTGCTGATGGGGCAGCTGGCTGACTGCAGCCCCTCCACCTGGGCAGGGCGAGGCAGACCCGCCAGTGCCAGGCTTCTCTGTAGGATGGTCTCCAGGCTGACCTGGCCCTGCCTGGGGAAGGGGCCTGGAAGAGGGGCTGGCTGCACTTTCTTGAAGGGGATTATGTGCCAAAAAACAAATAAACAAACCCTTTGTGCCCAATCTGGGCCTGGGTAGTAGCCGCCAAAGCAGGGTGCGCCTAACAGGTCACCTGATCGTCCTCCTGGCAGGTGAGAGGTGGGGAAAATCTACCTCTTCTGTTGGGACCCAGCCCTGCACTTCCTCTCCAGGAGCTGAGTGGCTGCCAGCTGAGATCTAATCACTCCCAAGGAATCTGCCAACAAAGGCTGTGGCTGGTACAGCCCTGCAACTTGCTCGATGGTGCAGCAATGTGGAGAAATGAAGCTAGAGGAAGCAGAATGCACAAACATTTATTTACAAAAAGTCCGAGTTACATATGATACAGGCTTTTTACACACAGTAGTTTAAACAGAATTATTTAATCTATTTTTACTACCAGAAGGTAAAGTATAATGAACTGCTTACTCATTTTTTGCTATTTTTATACAAAGTGACAGATCATGCACATTTTTTATTTTCAGCTTTTAAAACTTTCACTAAGTGCAAATACTAGATTCCTTTCTCCAGTTTTAAGGCAAGTAAAACGGGACTGTGGCTGGGCAGTCTCTCGCCCTGCAGCCCAGAGTGAAGGTGCCAGCTGACCCAGGGCCTTCTGCCTATGCCACCTTGCTGGCTGGCCAGATGACCAGGCCCTTTTCTCCCCAGCTGTCACCAGTACAGGCAGGAGGCCCGAGGCCCAGGCTCCTGCTTCTGAACACTGGGGTGCCTGCAGGGCCAAGGGGGTCATTCTGGCCATTTTGGGAGTCAGCAACTGTGCTCTTGTATGCAGCCACAAGGGTTGCCTGCACCCAGCTCAGGGATCATTAGGAGTCAGGTCCCTTCAGAGGAAAAAGGTGGCAGTTCCCTCCCTATAGGCTAAGTGTGGCCAGAAACAGCTGGAACTAAGGATCGGCCTTAGGGGTAACATCACTCTGGTCTCCCCTCACCTCTGCCAGGACTGGGGCCTGCCACAGAAGCAGCCAGATTCTAGTCCTGAATCTGCCCCTTGGTGGAGCCACATACCTGGGGTGCAGGATGCAGCTGGGCCAGCCTTGGAGGGGCAGTGCCTGGGGCCACCACCCCCATCTGTTGGCACGCTCTGCTCCCAGAGGTCCTCCCTGGGGAAGTGCAGGGAACATGCATTTAAGGTACTTAGAGTACTGTCACTGCTGCAGGGAGCCTGCCTTTCCAAGGCACTGTCATTCAGGCTAGTAGCAAAGTTCAGGCAGCCCAACAGGAGGGGCTTCCGGCAGTGGCAAGGCCCCTCAGCCCATGCCCAGGTGACCACCTGTTCTCAAAGCCTGCATCATGAGGAAAGGCAGAAAGAACGGGCATCTAGATCTTTTTTCCCACTTCAATCTTTGAAATGCATCTGAGGAGCAGACGGTGGCTTGACAGTGCCTGGTTTCCTGACAACCTGGGCGGCAGAGCCATGTTGGGGGCCATGCAGCACAGCCCCGAAGGCATTGGGCTCAGCCTTGTCTCTGAGTTCTATGCACTCTCAACCCCCCAGAACCCCAGGGCAACACAAGGACAAGGAAGGCCAACACTGGAGGACAGAGTACATCTGCGGTCAGGAGGGCTGGCTCCCAGCTGGGCAGTCAGAAGCTTCAGGCCTCTGCTTGGCAAACAGGCTGGTGCAATGCCTCAGGTGTAGTGAGACCTGGGCCAGACAGGAAGGGAGGAAGGTGGCTGGGAATGTGGCAGGCCCAAGCTCTTATCCGATCCGAGGAAAAGGACAGCTGCTCTCACTCCCTAGAGGCACGGGCCATCACCCTCCACCTGCCTCCACCACCAGATGAGCCGCTGAGAGAATACACAGAAGAGAGGGACAGAGGACCTGCTGCGTGGGCCCTACCACAAAGGTGCAGCACAGCTGGCAGAGTGGGCAGTGCCTTGGGTGGGTGCCCAGCTAGGTGGTGTCTGGGGTTATCTGCCCTCGAGGGGAGCCCACTCCTCCCCCCAGAAATCCATGGTGGAAAAGCTATTCATCGCCTGGCTGGTGCGGAGGCATCTCCCCAGCAATGGGCTGCCCAGGCCCCTCCCAGCCACCTCGAGATGATCTTTTGTTTGGCCAAAGTTCCAGAACCATCCAGCCCTCGGCAGCTGCCTGACCTAGGTAACTGATTTCTACTTTGACTTTTTAGGAATTCAAGTAGGCCATGGAAAACGGGGTAAGCTCAGAGTAAACAGGAACAAACATTTTAGATACATGACAGAACAAAACTCACACCACAAGATGGTTCTCTGCTGCTGTCTGGTCTGAATGGGCCTTAAAAGGGAAGAGAGGCCTCCTAAATGGTCACTGTGGTGGCACCTGGGCGTGTTTCAGACAGTGTCTTGTCCTGCTGGCACTGGGAAATGCTCTGAGGGGCTGCAGTGCACTGGCGGCCCGTGGGGCTTCCCAGGCCTGTGGACAGGCTCTGCTACCTCCTCACGGGACCAACCTCGAGTCTTCGTGAGGGGCGAGAGCTCCCCCCCAGCACAGGCCTCTGGGTCCCAGGTGTGACGCTCACGGCCGTCTTGCTTCCCAGGGCTCAGCTCAGGGCCCTGGGTCCTTGACCCGCAGCTATGCACAGAGCAGAAAGGGCCACTCTTGACTGGCCCCGGCTGGGGTGGCAGTGCCAATCTCTCAGCTCTCTGCAAACTCCACTCTGTGCTACTTGTCTTTATTACGGACGTATCTGCGCGGTGGGAAGGAAGGCCTCCATGGTTTGTAACTCTGACAGGCTTCTCCTGTTGTCTGTCAGGGGAACAGGAATAGAAGCAAATCATTTCCTCTTCGTCATTTTCTGCAGGGATGTGAATGACACAGCAGAGACAGGGCCACCGCGATGTACTCTCCAGGAAGAGGGCTTCGCTGCCCTTCTCTCTCTGGCCCAGTGAAGGCCAGATCAATCCTGTTACAAGCACTCAGAGGGCCACCAGCTTGTGGCCACCCTTCAAGGAGCTGTGGCCCTTCCCAGAGGAGCACAAGAAAACCAACCTACCATCCCAAACCTCCCATCCCTCCTTGGAAGGCATGGGTGGAGCCCTCAGCCTTGGGGGAGGGATGAGTTCTCTATCCTACAACCTGTACGCACGGGCTCCTCCGCTGCCTGGTGGGAGCTCGTGGTGGGGATGGGGGACCAGGAAGGGCTCTGGGTCATCAGAAGCGATGCCGCGGCTGGGGGCCAAAGTGCATAGGCAAGTTGTGCTCCAGGGGCACGTGGACAGGGCCAAAGTCATAGTTGACCCGCACGTTGGGCAGTGGGGGCACGTAGGGTGCCGGGATGGGGCCCATGTTGAGCGGGAAGTTGTTGAACATGGGCCTCACGGGCGGCAGGGGGAAGGGCGGGTGCACGAAGGCATAGGGCGGCATCTGCGGCTGGTGCAGGTTCTGCGGGACAGGCCTCGGGAGGGCTTCCATCCTCTGCACCTTCTCCGGAGGCTTGTCCAGCGGGGGCCCGATGCGTTTGAAGGTGTTCTCTGAAAGGGAGATGGGATGTGGTTGAGGAAAACAGGTTAGATCAACTTAGCTGGATCTAGGTTGGGACAGGCCGCACACACCGCCCTGGTCCCACCCGCCAGAGCCGGGGGAGCCAAAGGGAGCCCAGAGTGGGTGACGGGTGTGTTTGTGTGTGTGACCTCAGACTTGCAGCACACTCTCCCTGGACATAGGAAGGTGGTGCCCCAACAAGGCTGATTAAAGCATAAAATGAAACATACACCTACCCTCAACTGCCATTATGAGAAACCAAGGACAAACTGTTCTTCCTCAAGAGTGTCATGCTCCCCAGTGATGGCCCAGAAGGCCCTGTCCATCCAGCTCCACACGGGGCATTGTTTAGAGCCAGAGCCTTGCGGGGCCACCCTCAGCACCTCCATTCTTTTCCTTTTTTAACCTCGAAAGGGTCAGGGTGGGTGTACAGTCTCTTTAGTCAGGTTTGGCTTCTATTTGCTTCTTGAGTGCAAACCCACCCTTCAGGACTTTCCCACCACCAAGGAGAGACCCAAACCACAGCCAAGCCTTTGATGGCCTTCCCATGGGCCTGAGCAGTGGTCTTGTGGGTGGACACCCAAGGGGCAATACCACCCCCCCTCGGGCTGGGTTGAGGGCCAGCGGTGGGGCACCCATGTGGCCCTTGGGCGGCCGCGTACTCAGCAGCGCCGTGCTGCGGGGAAGCTCTTGCCTCCGTTCTTTCTTTTCTGCTCCTCTTCAGCCTCCTTCTGGATTTCCTCAATTAGCTTCTCATCATCTTCCTAAAATAACAGCAAGGAAAGGATGAGTGTATAGCTTTATGCAGTGCTGAGGCCCCTGGGGACACAGGTGAGGCTACCTGTGACTGGCCAGCAGCAGGAATGAGCCAGAAACCTGCTGCCAGCCAGTGGAGTTTCAGGCCTGTGTCCTCTCACTCCTATTTCCCAAAGAATCTTTTTCCTTCATCAACTGGACAGTGTTCCACTAGGAAGACCATGGGAAAGGCTGGGGACAGAGGGGTCTGTGCATAGGAGGTGACCACCGGGGGTGGGTGGAGAGCCTGCTGTTCATTAAGCCGTACAGCTCACAGAGGGAACTTCCGGCAGCTTGAGGGAGGGCAGATAGTAAGTGAAGGGTTGGGGAGGGGGTGGTGGGGGTCAGCCTGGCCTGAGAAGTTTCAGATCCTGAGCCTACAAACTCTTGAGCGCAGCAGCCCTCTGCAGAGCCCAGAGAAGTCTTGCTGAAGCCCTTAAATTAGCTGGACAAATGTCCAGGCAGGCCCTACTGACCCCCAAAGAGCTGGCCTATGGCTACTGGATAGCTGGGGGGCTAGAGCCACAGCAGAACAGTAGCGGGGTTCAGATCTCAGTAAAAGGAGGGAGGACACAGGAGCTTACAGACAGCCCCCTAACACAGATTGTGCTGTCTCCTCTTCCCAAACCCAACCCTTGGTGGGTGTGGAATAACACATGCAATTCAAACTTGAGTTAGTCCAGCTTTGGATGGGAACCAGAGGCACTCCGAGTGCAGGCAGACGTGTGCACTTCCCCGGGGATGCTCAGGGGCCACACTGGGCAAGCCCAGGCCGCTGGGTTGCCACATGCCGTTCCCACAGCTCCACCAGCCAGCAGGCACCAGGGTGGGAGAAGCGGGCTGCTGCCCTGTGATAGCCCACCCCGCCCACGCCTGCTTCATCAGCGGTGCTGGGGCTCAACCCACTCCTCCGTGACCCAGAAAGCAGCTTTCCAGTTTATTGTAGGACCAGAAGCTCAATGGACTGAAAAAGCCCACCAAGAGGGTACACATCTTTCCTGGCTGGCTGCAGGGCTGCTGACAGCATCTCACTCAGAACTGAAGCCAGGCACGGCTACAGAGGGCCACAGGTCTAAGGCGTGGCCCCGAGAGGCCTGAGGCTCCACAAGAAGAGGAGCAGGACACAGATGCAAACATCAGACGCGCCAACCCTGCTGATGCAGCCCGAGTGAGACTGGGCCGACCACAGGAAGGAGCTCTGTTCCTTAAGGTCCCCTAGGAGCTTCTCCAGGAGTTAAAAGCATCCAAGATGGAGACAAGTGTGAGAAAAGTAAAAGAACCCAATATGAGGGGGCGGGGATGAGCAAGCCCCAGCAATGCAAGAGGTCTAATGGAAACGCGTGTTCATTCCCCCAAACATGGCATCAAGCCTAAACATCGAGCTAGTTTCTCTGCTTTGGGCTGGAGAAGTATCAGTGATACTACTGGATATATCTGGACAGCTCATGCTGATCTAAGGACACCCATGGAACTTCTGAGATATGAACAGAGGGTCAGAGCAGAGCATGTGAGCTTAATAATATAAGTTATTAACGTCACAGCCAAGACAGTAATTAGTGATTTCATGCACAGTTATTTATGAACCTCATCATAGTCTTTTCAGCAGAGGGAGCCTCACCTGGCCATGTGTTCTGAGCAAGGCATGGGAAAGAGGAGAAAAGTGAAGCTCCCCTCATATATTTCAGAGGTTGCAAAATGCCCGCACACACGACAGAATCCTATGTCTGCGAGGAATCCTGTGGGCACCATGGCTTTCTCCCAGGTAATGCGTAAATAGCCAGCTGTGGCCATCTGGCCTCTGGGAACACTCCACAGGGAACCTCCTACTTTACAAAGTAGTCACTGAATGGATCAACACCAAGGGCTCCCGTAACTCAACAGGGCTGGACAGACAGTCCGAAGGTAAATTCCACCAACTGTCTAGATTACGTGCTGGCAAACCTCCTCATTTTGGAGCCAGTGGCAGGTCTAGGAAAAAAGATTAAGAACAAAAAAGTAAAGGAAAATGATGAAGAGAACTGGGATGAAGGAGAGTAGTGGGTCCACCCTCTCCGTGAAGTGGCCATGGCACGCTCCTGAGTATCACCTCTGTGTCTCGGAGGCTCATCTGTAAGCTGGGCTGCTGTAAGGACTGAATGAGCTAAAGTACGGAAAGGACAAAGTGCTCATGATCCAGAGGAAAAGAAAACTGTGAAAAATGGCAGGGATGAAGATTTTAGGAAGATGAGAAGTTTCACGGAGAAGTGGTACACACTGGGAGATGTCCCTAGTATCTCTTTCAGTGGCTTCTTCACGGAACCAGTAAGACAAGCTTGCTGACCCTGGTCACTTAGTAATTATTACCACCAGCATGACATCACCACCTCCCCCACCTCCTTCCGACCTCTACCACATTACCTACATGTAGCCTGCCAGTCCCAGAGGGGCACTTAAGGCCTCAGGAAGCACAAGGAGGCATCTTAGAAATCATCTGTCCTGGCTGGGCGTGGTGGCTCACGCCTGTAATCCTAGCACTCTGGGAGGCTGAGGCAGGTGGATTGCTCAAGGTCAGGAGTTCAAAACCAGCCTGAACAAAAGCGAGACCCTGTATCTACCAAGAAATAGAAAAAAAAAAAAAAAAAAAAAATGAATTGGCCAACTAAAAAATATATAAAAAATTAGCCGGGCATGGTGACACATGCCTATAGTCCCA